GAAAAACAGCACAATGACTTACATGCATGCTATGATTATTGCAGTACATGTATTTACCTGTACTAGGTTGTGATGATGGTGTGATACAAGAGTGGCAAAAGGAAGAAGTTGAAGCTCTGAAAGCAAAAGAACACGGTAGTTTAATTCCTCAGCATTTATTAACAATCAGTAGGAAAAAGTTTTTTTGTATTCACTAATATATTATTAATCTGTCACAGGATTAATACTGCAGTGGGACGAATCATATGTCAGCTTGCTCCTCATGTCTGAAAAACTCAGGTATATAGTGTGTGGAAGTACCACCTACCAAATTATTCATGATTTACATTACACTGAGCTTTTCGAAAGTGATTAAACTTGTAAAAGGCGAAATTCCTACCTAACCAACTGTTGTAGTGGACTACGTGAAACTAATCCTTTAGTTGATTCATGGCATTACCTAATCCTTTGTGACTTCGGCTTAAATAGAGCTGTTTTGTAAAGCTTTCTTCAGTCCGGTCAAGTCAGGTAAAAAACCTGTCAGCTCAGTGGTACTTAATAAATCTCCTTTAGAGCCAACTTTGTTGTTGTTAGTCATTGTCTCGAGGATAGTCAACAGCCGTAATAGATGCTGGCCTTCCCGCAGCCAGCAAGTGCCCCCAGGAAAGCCTTTTCCCAGAAGAAGTTTATCAGGTTGTCTCCCATCCATCTGTTTATTTCTGAAGGCAAAAAAACTGTTTTCACAATAATATAAATATCGTATTCGTACTCCCCTTTCTTTCCACCTTCGCAAATATAATTACTAAGTATTAAACTGAACATACTGTGTATGTATCTCCACCCATTTAAAAATTTTTTTTTTTCAGAAATGGATTGAGCTGTGTACAAGATAAAGATCAAGGGAAAGTAAAAGAAGTTGAAAAGAAAATCAAACAGTAAGTCATAAATATGCAAATTCCTTCCTTGCAGCAACAACTGGAATAATCAGGTTCTGCAGAGAGAGAATTAAGGGTGCCGAAATTAAAAACAAATAATAAATCTCTCTAACTTGCATTTACTGTACATAGGAACGAGAAGGCCATAGTAACTATGGAAAAGAAGCATCACATCAGAGAAAGATGGTCCAATTTGTCCCGTGTGTTTGTAACCATTACGTCACGTCTCTACGAGAAGAGAAAGAGCAAACTCTTGTTGAAGTTACATTTTATGGCATTCGAAAGATGTTTCTTGGTGGAATTGAAGCGAAAATATGCTGGTAATAAACTGAAGAAACTGCTATGTAAAATATTTAGTAGCATGTGTATTTTGGTGATCATGGTCTGCAGTAATTCTGTCGTTATGTTGCTGCGTATGCCTGTTGTTTTCAACTGTGACTCTAGGGGTATAAGGGCTAAATTTTCTCAGTTCATGAGTCTTACACATTTACATTTTCCCATCTAATCCATAAAACTGCCACTGCATTGCATTTTTGTTATTGTGAACTTTTTAATTTTCAGATGGCCAAGCAATTGCTATAAAGCTTGCAAAGCAGACCAACAAAGTTGTGAAGTCCATCCACAAAACTTTGTGCGAAGTAAATGGTATCTTCCCGATGATGTACCCCAAATTCTTTATGAGGATGCTAAGGATCCTAGGAGCAGCATTTACTTTGAAGTCCAAGAGGAAGGGGATTCCTGCTCTTGTTAGGAGGCAAATAATTGACCTTTTCTGCTTACACAACAGGTGTCAGGAAGAGCTTGAGCTGTTGAAGGAGAAAATGATTTTCCTTGTCCCTTTTCTCCAAAACGAAATCAGGCTTACAGACAAATCAGTGGATGCGCTTTTGCCTCACACTGATAACCCTCTTAATGCAGGAATGATAGCTTGTCTTAAAAAGAAACAGATGATTCATTGTAATCACATTTCCTCACTGCCACTTTTATGGGGTTGTATCTTGGATTCCCCTAAACCTATTGATCATGCTGAGGTAGCAAAAACCTATGCTAATTTGAGTGGTATCGACTATCTTCTAGACGATGAGAAATCAGACAAATTGATGATGGAGGAAGTTGTGGACGATAAGGCCTTTCTGTTGGAACTGACATCAGACCACAAATTATCTGATGATGAATAAAACTCATTTTGTCTCTGGTGCTTGCCAAAACCATACAGAAACAGCCGCTGTTTTGTTTATGTGTGTGCACCAACAGCGGGTAAACTTCTCGGAAAACCCAACAAATATCAATATATTGCATAGGATTATACTGACTGGCCAATCATCAAAATATGTTTTAATAAATTCTCACCGTTGGCAAATTTCATCTCGGTGGTGATTCATTGCAGTTTTTACGTTATTAGGATTATACATAGCGTGTGTAGACGGTGTATTTTATATGCTGATCAGTGCTGAAGCTTCCTTAACGGACACTCATAAGTGAACAGCTCTACTTACCCACCTAGTCAAAACTGTTTCATTAAACTCCCATACAAACTCTGTATTCTGATATTATTTCATCATTGCACAACTATTTCCCCTTCTTTTGAATCATTGGCCCATTTGCAGCTAGTTAGCCTTCACATGACCCCCTTCTTAATGCTAAGAAACATAAAAGGCCTAATGTAAAGTCATTGAGTGGAGCGTGCCATTTTCTCCAGCCCTATGACTTCAGATTTCCAAACAAATAATTTTAAATATCTGGAGTTTAAAAACCTGAATCAGGGAAAGGCGAAAGGAAATCAGGAAAATAGGTAATTTATTATATTTCTTATTGTTCAGTTATGTTTTTCAGAGGATTATGTTCATTTTAGTAACATAGATGAGTGTTTTCTCTACTGTACACAACGTTCTTGACCTTTTTCAATTCATACTCATTTTGACACATTGCATTTTTCCTATATTTTCCACAAAACCAAGAGGCCCATTAGATGTTGTCCACTACAGGGATGTACCTGGGTTGGACAACGCTTTGATTACCACCTACCAAAAGTACACAATATTGGCAAAGATTCTGCAAAGTACTTATTATTAGTACACAAAAATGGCAAAATTTAATGTTTCTGTTTTTTTTTTTAAATTTTTTTGTACAATCAAGCTTCTTTGTTAGAAAGTATGACATGCATGTAGCCTATTGTAATAGGTAATAAAAGTACTTTATACTGGATTTTGTATTCATTTATAGACACACCACTTGGACCATTGAAAATGATCAACAAATTAACAAACAAACTTCTAGGCTAATCATTATCTATAGTTTGATAATAGTAACAGTTTTTAAACAGAGAATCATAAAATGTAGTTCTTAAAAGAACTACATTTTATGATTCTCTGTATGTCAGCTGGCTATAAAATTGGCTTTCTGACAGGTTCTAAGAAAAGGTATATTAAATCAAAGTTTATGTTTGAAAAAGCAAAAAAAATTAGGATTCATCTTTTGGAAATTACAATACGTTATCAATATGATACAAAAGTATTACAAACAATGACAATTGGGTCAAACAGTTGGGTTCCTGGGCATTTGCAAGCTGTTATCTTCCATTATCAATTCTGCGAGGTGAACAAATAACAGAGAGCAACCAAGAGGATGAGATCTGTTGCCACACATATTTTCCGCTACAACTATGTCATTTTTCCAAACATTGACTTTATAATTGAGAGCACCAGCCTCATGTGGTACAAAGGGGGCGTTTCCCTATTATAGGGTCTTTTTTGATGCAAATTCCAGGTCTCTGCCACGTTATGCAACTCCTCTTGAAGTAAGCCCATGAAACAAAATCACAGGCACTCGATGTGCATTACATTGCTGTTGTCAAAATGCCCGGTTTCTGATAAAACTTTAAAAAAACGCATCCACTAATCAGTGTTACTTTTTCTTAGGAAGGACCACCAGGCCTCAATTCTCTGGTTACCTACAGATTTGCTGTACATAAAGCTTTTTTCTCCTGCGAGGTGATTCTGAGAATTCTGTCTCAGAAATCACTGAACTGCTGCAATGTGTACATTTTCAGTTCCACAGTCGCCTCTTACTATTAAAGGACAGCCACCAAACTGAGGGGCACAGTCAATAAAGTATTGTACGGTTATCATTGGGTCATTATTGGAGGGGCCAACTTCAAGCCATCATATGTGTTGGCTGTATCAATTGATGGCACCGTGAATACAAAAGCCAAATAGTTATCATATTAATCAAGATGCCATGTGAAGTTAGGTCCTGCTGCTACATATTTCCTTCTTTTGAATTGTTTCCTGGATCGCAGCTCCACTCCCTCTGGGTCCAGTCCCTTCACTAAATGCTGATCTGTCTCTCTATCTATCAGCAATCCGGGATCCTTAAGGAGATGCTGATACATTTGTCGATACCAAATACAACTGCCTCTAGACTGTAACTCTTGGTCTATTGCATCTACAACCCTTTCAACTCGAGACTGACTCTTTTTTCTGCAAAGTCCTTGAGATACGAGGATCTTTTTAAGGTGGCGCAAACTCAAGTGGACACCAAGGTACAAAGCCAAAAAGAACAGAATTTCAGTGTAATTAAAACCAAGACGAAAATACTCTTTAATTAAATAGTTTCTGTCTTGATTGCCATTCCTCATACTTGGTAGATACTCAGGGAGGGTGTAGCTTTGTGAAATTGTTAAAGAGTCAAACGATGCTTTAAAAACAACACCCGCCATCTTCATTGTTAACTACTCAGACAAACATGCAAGCCTCATGTAACTAATACTGAAACTAGCTTGCAAGTTACAAGTCGCAATTGCAAGTTATAAGTCATGATCACAAGTAATAAGTCGCCATCACAAGTTAAAGTCACAATCGCAAGTTGTAAGCTAGATTGCATGTTATAAGTGGCAATCGCAAGTTATGCCATCGCAAGTTATGCCATCGCAAGTCAGTAACTTGCAACAAGAAAATTGATGTGTCCCTTATGAGCCATCATACTTTTGTGGCACAAGCTTTATTATACTTTTATAGAGTACTAAAGTCGTGACGTCACGTTTCCATGACATCTAAATTCTCAGTTCTAAACAAACAGCACATTCCAGAGAAAATGGCGTTGCTGTCGATTGCTTCACTGATTTCTTTCTTCTCAGAAGAAAAGAAGTCTATCAGAAAAGGAGAAAACCACTACAAATCGGATCATGTGGAGTCACTTTCGTATCAACAAGGTGTTTTACGTGGGGAAGTGCATGCAAGCATGAAAAAGAAGGTGTATAAAGTCACGGTGAGTTAACTCAAGCTAAGCTAACATCTTCTATTAAAAGCACTCAACAGAGCTCAAGATTTAAACCGATTTACAGTTCTGTTTTAGGTAGATTTGTTTGGTTCTTTCACTTCTTTGAACAATTAGAGATGGTAAAGGCGATCTTAGCTGCCTAATTCCAACTTACCATATTTTTAAATGTAACGGCTACCAAACAAAAATTTTTGTAGTGATTTGTTTACTTCATAGCGTGGTTTTAACGCAGCACATTGTTGTTATCATTTGGGACCACCTGAATCCACTTCGTTGGTGGGATGTTCTTTCGTTGTTTTCTTTTCCTAGATTTACTTGGATGAAAAACACGAAATTAAGTCGACTGAGTGTGAATGCCCAAGAGGAGCATTTAAGTGTAGCCATGCAGCTGCACTCTTTATACACGGCATCCATAATCTAAGCAGAACTGACGTTGAGTGTCAGTGGAGGAAAAGGAAGTCGAACACATCACTCTCAGCTCAAGCTGTGGCAGAAATGTTCCCTCCACCTAAGAAGTACACTGCCTTGGGAAGAAAGCCAGTACAGGTTGACAGAGCACAGCCGTATGAAGACCTTAAACAATAAGGAAGGTTTACAAGCCTTTGCTGGCTGCTCAGCCCAGAACCACCTGCTTTTAATGAACTACCAATTCCAACAATAGAGGATATAATATTTTCAGAAGAGTTTCTCTAAACCAGAGGGCTTCAACAACAACTGGACTGTTTAGCTCGACAATCCAGAATACTTGAAGAAGATATATTGAAAATCAGTAGGATCACTGTTGGCCAGCGTGACAATCCTGCCTGGCATTTGGCAAGGAGGGGCCGTCTTACTGCCAGCAACTTTGGTAGTGTTCTGAAAGCCAAATAAGTTACTCCCTCACTTCTGAAACGCCTTCTTGGAGAAAATGACCTCTCATGAGTGAAAGCAGTACAATGGGGAGTTAACAATGAAGAGGAAGCTATCAAGGCCTTCACCTTGAAGACAGGGAAAACAGTTAAAGAAACTGGAATCTGGTTTCATTCCTCTGATATTCTTGGTGCTTCCCCTGATCGGATTGTTGACCATGAAACTGCTCTTGAGGCCAAGTGCCTATAAACTGAAAGAAACCTAATCATAGATCAGGCTGTACAATCTTCAGCAACATTTTGCCTCGATAAATCTGACAGTGGAGAGTATGTATTGAAGAAGGAGCATGTTTAATGGCACCAGGTCCAGGGAGAAATGTATTTTTCTCAGCAAAAATTTTTGTTATTTTGTTGTGTGGACCACAAAGGATGTAGCTGTTTTAAAAATAGAAAGGGATGAATCTTGGGCAGCAAACATCCCACTTTTAACACAATTTTATTTTAATTATATTTTCCCCAAAATAGTTGCAGGAGAATTGTAGAGTAATATTAATAATTGATTTTAATTAAATTGTTAAGGTTGGGACATATTTCAATGGTGATTTGTCTGATGTAGAAGGCTTTTCATGCCACTGGGGGTTTCATTAACGTTTTCAACAGGAGGGCAACTGGTTTTCACAGGCTTACAAAGCTTTTTGACCTGAACTTCTTTATAAGATAAACTTTACTCAAGATTGTCAAACCAGGCTGCCAAATTCTCCTCGCAGCCAGTCAATTTGCCTTGCCCTCGACCCCCTATGAAACCCCTGCCTGGCCTGCTCCTCCCCTTAATTTTTTCTCAAGAACTTTCTTTGGGTTTGGCTGTGATTCCCAATAATATATATTATATTATTTTTGATAAATTGTTGATTCCATGAAATAATATAATTTTGATCATTGGATGAAAGGGAATGACTAAATTATTAAATGCCAAATGAACACCATCAAATTGTTTTTGTTTTGGGCTGACTCCAGTATTATTTTAAGTGGAGGTCGGTTTGCCCTGTAAATTTGACAAAAATTCAACTTTAATGTTAAGATTGTGAAAAGTGCAGGACTGTAGGCTAAAGTTTTCACTTTTGTCACATAATTTACTACTAAAAATAATCCTGTGTGGATATATTTGCTGAAGAGATTTTAGGAAAGGCTAGCCTTAACTCCTTGCAATATATTTAAGCTACAGTTCCTCAAACCCATATATATATTTTCTTAAACAGTTTTATTATCCAGCCCACCTGTAGTGTTCAAAACAATATTATTATTCAAAAACCATATCTTCACAACCTTCTTTGAATAAAGGAAACTGCAAATTGACAAATGCAGCACACAATTGCAAAAGAATGTCAGCATAACAGCGCAAATAAGATGGAATAAAACTTAAAATGGATATCGAATGGGAGAGAACTTTGCGAACTCTATGGAGTATTCTAATCCTTTTGCTTCGCTAATAGGATTTGTTGTTACGATGTTAATGAAAATTGGCAGTAATTATTGGGGGTCTGTCATTCAATTCAAAATCAGGCGCACAAAATAATGTGCACTATTTACGATATCATATCAATATCATCTATCATGTCATCCATTCGTGACCTTTCGGCAATTTACGGCTAATGCTAAGAGATTGTTAATAGACTCTTCTCTTTTTGAACTTTCGAGTTCCTCGAGTGTTTTGTTCACCACAGAAAATGGCTCATATTCTTTATCGCGAATGAAGATTGCCTACCTCACTTAAAGGTTTCTAAGACTTTAACAACGATCGGGACGTTTGGATTGCAAGCAAACTGCTACAAGTCTTCTTCGTGCGAGGCCGGCGATCACCATCCACAGTGGTAGTGAAAAGATCGAATTGAGATTCACCATACAATAGTGGCGGGCTATCAATATTGTCTGATATTCTTGGCTTGGCTACTTATCACAATTGTCCTACATTCTCTAAAACCTAACCGTGGTTTTGATAAGACATCCTGCAGTATTGCTGTATTGACAGGTTTGGATATTAAGCAGTATCCAATGTGGAATTCTGGTCCGACTCGGAGGTTCCTACATGAAGCACTTGTGCCGCCATCTTTGAAATGTATGGCCGCACTGAAATTTGCAAATATCACTGTCTGCGCAACTTACATGGTTCTGTTAGCAGGAGATATACAGGAGAATCCAGGGCCGGTAACGGATGCTTGTGCTGTTTGCACTAAAGGATGCCGAAAGAATCAGATGGCGATACAATGCGATTCATGCGACAAGTGGTTTCATGCTAAGTGTATCAGTATGAAGAGAACAGAATATGATAAACTTTGTGAACCTTCTCTGGCTTGGGAATGCATAACTTGTTTATCGCCTTATGGTGGAACAGCAGTGTATAATAAAATTTCATCCATTCCTGGATATCCAGTTTCTAAGAGTGCTAATGGTGTTGAAATAACTATTGTTAAACTTGCAGCAATTCCACATATTACCATAATAGGTGTATATCGTTCACCAAGAGTGGCAATTCGGCAAATGTGTACAGCAATGATGCAACTTCTTGTCCTTCATAGTTCAGAATTCAATATTTTTATTGGAGATTTTAATGTAAACTGGTTGAATGAGAAAGAAAGAATTCCCCTTTATAATCTGTTTGTTAGAGATAACAGTTATAGGCAATTAGTATTATGTTATACCACTGACAACAGAACTACAATAGACCATATTTATACTAACTTACCAGAGTTATACGTAAATTTACACATTTTAGAAACATATTTTTCAGATCATATAGCAATCTGTGCACTGATTAGAACATGAAGTACCTTTTATGCCTTTTTTCATATCATTTTATTAAATTCTAACAAAATCTTAAAAGTTATTTTACCATATCTCCAATCTGGATATGGCAGACTATAACCTGAAACAAAATTTTATGAAAATTTTTCTTCAATGCAAAAGCAATTTGTCCAATAACTCATACTGTTCTAGGAAACGCTGTTTTTTAGAAACTGATTTCAACATTATCGTCAACTATAGCTAGTAATTTTGTGTCAAAAGAAAGACAATATACTGTCTCTAGATTCAGGCTCCTTTTCTTTCCTTTATAATGAATAAGTAAACAAATAAAAAATTATAATTCACCAAGGTAAGGTTTTTTTTTTGGCATTTTGTTGTTATAGTTAAATTTGTAGTAGTATACAAATTTTGAAATACATTATATTGCTATGAAACAAACTCAAAAGGTTCTTTTTCACTTGCAGGCAATGGAAGAACAAAAAGAAGAGATTGTTGGTTTCTTACACAATGTGTCTCCAACTAAAAAAAGTAGCAAGACATCTTACTTTGACATGTCCATACAAACCACCAATGGCTTAGTAAGAGGAGTCTGCTTCTCTGGAAGTAAACAGGAACACTTTGATCAAATGAGCAAAAAGAAATCTCCAATAAAACTTCGAAATTTTAGAATTGAAAGAGCAGGAGATGCAACCACAGTACTGATGAATAACAATGTACTGTTAGAGCCTACAAAAGAAACACCTTTTTCACGAATTGAGTTGCCAAGTGCCAACAATATCCAATCAATTTCAGCTGCAAACACAAATCAAAGTATCACCATCAAAGCCAAACTTATTCAGATGTCATCAACAAAAAAAGTGAAGACAGAGGATGGTGAAAAAAAAAGTTTGCCTATCTTGTGGACCCACATGGAGCCATTAAGGTGACACTTTGGGAACAATTCTGTGGATTAGAAGAAGGAAAAACTTATAACTTTCAAAATCTCCAAGTAAAGAAGGAGTACAACTCAAATGGCGTATATTTGAGTACCCCCAAAACAGGGTGCACAATTACAGAAGTTGAGCCATTTTCACAACCTCTCATTAATCCTGCTGAGCTACCTCAGAACTTTACCAATACAACAGCAGCAGCAGAAACACTTGGAGTGCAAAGTGTCAATGCATATCAATCCTGCTGCAACTGTAACAAAAAGCTGGTAATAGAGACGTCTCCCATACTAACCTGTTCAACTTGTGGGCTCAAGCAGAATATGAAGTCCACCATTGAACAATGTTATGTACAACTACTGGTACAAATTAAAGAATCGAAGATCACAGTGACCCTGTTCAACGACATCCTGCATGATATGCTAGCGTCACAAGGAAAGAGCACTCTTCCGATCACTGAAGAAACCATAACTGCCTTTCTTCTAGAGTTACCAACTATAACCAGCATAACATTCAACAACAAAACAAAAATAGTGGAGTCAGTGCAAATCTGAATAAAATGAACAATTTCCTGTCACACATCAGTGGAAATTACTACTGAATACCAAACATTAATAATACCTGTTTTTTTAGTTTGCAACAAACATTTTGTAGACACTGGTTTTAAGTGAAATGATTGT